CTCACCAAAATGCAGGTACAGAATCATCTACCAAAAAAGACAAAAAAAAAAACATTCTGTGCTTTTAATCTTGTTGTTTAAACAAATAATCTCTTTTAAATAGATCAAACAAATGATGGAGGCAGCCACAAAACAAATTGAAGAACGCAAGAAACAACTCACCTTTTCATCACCTGCTGCCTCAGTAAGTAAAGTATTTTTATTTAACAGAAATGCATTATTTTCTTTTAATCTAACAAGTTTATTTTTGTCCATAGCGCCTGTCTTCATCTGATTCAATGTCTCGTCTTGGTGTTGGAGCTGCATCCATTGGTCCGTCTCAGGCAGCTAGTTTTATGAATGATGCAATTGAAAAAGCTCGCAAAGCTGCAGAACTACAAGCTCGTATCCAATCTCAGCTGTCATCCAAACCTGGCATTCTTGGGGCTTTGGCAGCTCCAACACCTAACAACAATCTTGTGGCACTGGCTACACTTAATTTAATGGGAATAGCACCACCGTAAGTAGTTTTTGTTTTTGTTTTTAGTTTTGGGCAAAATATATAGTCTATAAACCATTCTTTTTAGTTTTATTCAAAAAATCTCATGCTAAATTCATAATGCTTTTGAACCAGGAAATGTCTTTTTATTCCAGTTAGATCGACATTTATATGTATTTTTATTAATTCATGCATAGACTAAGGTCCTTGGACACTGATTTTGTAATATGGTCTGTTATGGGGATCTGTAGTTGAAAAAGGTAATCTTTCATTTTTTATTGATAAAGTCTGTCATTTTAGTCATCACTCATTGCTATTTAGTTATTTTTGATTACAAAAAAATGACACTGACTAAAACGATATTTAAATTTACAAAATTAACTCTTTTGTAACACTGCTTTGTTTTTTATACAGCAAAGTTGAGGTCAAAGAATCAAACAAGCCTACGCCTCTGATCCTGGATGACAAAGGGCGAACTGTGGATGCCACTGGGAAGGAAATAGAACTCACACATCGTATGCCAACTCTAAAGGGTATGTTTTGGTGCTATAAGTATCAGAATGAATAATATAATCTTCATAATTTCACGCTTTTCTGATTTTCTCTTTTTAGCTAATATCCGTGCTGTGAAGAGGGAGCAATTCCGACAGCAGCTGAAGGAGAAACCTGGAGAGGAATTGGAATCAACCTTTTTCGACAATCGAGTGAACTTGGCCCCAGCTCAGCGAGTTCGCAAGGGCTTCAAATTTCATGAGCAGGGTCGTTTTGAGAAGATTGCACAACGAATAAGAACAAAGGTAACAACACCGACATGACATATTTACACATTATATTTATGTAATGTGATTTATTTTAATGTAATTTATTTTAATGTGATTTTGACCAGGCCCAGTTGGAGAAGTTACAGAACGAAATTGCACAGGCAGCAAGAAAGACTGGAATCCAAGCCTCCACAAAGTTGGCTCTTATTGCTCCTAAAAAAGAGCTTGGTGAAGGAGAAGTGCCCCATATTGAGTGGTGGGACTCTTACATCATGCCCTCAAATAAAGAATAGTAAGCATTTCTCAAATCATTCTTAACTATGGTGGCGTTTTATTTGTATGCCTATATAAAATATGTCCTTTTTGTGTGAACACTAGTGCTTCAGAGACAAAATTTGAAGAATTGGAGCTTTTTGGTGTGACAAACCTCGTTGAGCACCCAGCCCAAATAAAACCACCAGGTAAATGGTTCATTGTTGTACAGTAGACCTCTTATATTTGGAATATTGAGCACTTTTTACTGCTCTAAATCAGTGGTTACCAAACTGGTCGTCATGAGGCACTGAGATCGCAGCATTATTTTAAGATTAGGGCTGCTTGATTATGGAAAAAATTTGAATTTTTTTTTGTTACGCGATTCAGCATTTCTCTCTCAAAAAAACACTTATTGATAATTTACTCAAAACATTCAAACTGAAAATAAATATAAGCTACAAATATGTACCTTAGAGCAGTTTTGCGATGTATAAACCATAAAATAGATAAAAATGTACTTTGAATATGAAATAAGACATAGAAAAACATAAATGTATCCAAAATAAACTACATATCCAGCTGTTCTACAATCTCTATATTTAAAAAATAAAATTAATATACTTATTTATATTAAAAAATATCCCAAAATAAACTTTGTTAAGCTTTATAAATCGTTTCAACTCGATTATGAGTTTGGAGGTCTTTTGACATACAAATTGAAATCGTGATCAAAATTCAATTAATTGCACAGCCTTATTTAAGATTTTATAATTTTTACACTATTTAATTTGTTTAGTTGAAAAGTGTATATTGAATAACACAGACTTATTAAGCATGTTTTGGCACGATAATTACTGTTGTCCATTTAATTGTGCTTTGAATCTTGGTTGTCTGATTATTTGAAATGTTTGCCAATGCCTGCTTTAAATGAACATGAACAACATATTTCTTTTTCAGTCGACACGGATAAAGCAGTAACTCTGGGCGTCTATTTAACAAAGAAGGAACAGAAAAAGCTCAGACGACAAACTCGCAGAGAAGGTCAAAAGGAATTGCAAGAAAAAGTGCGTCTTGGGCTGATGCCTCCACCAGAACCCAAAGGTCGGAAAATCAACACGAAAGCCACAATGTTTTGAGAGGTATAAATTAAATGACTTGAATTGTTTCTTTTCACAGTTCGTATTTCTAACCTGATGAGAGTACTTGGAACGGAGGCAGTGCAGGACCCCACGAAAGTTGAAGCACACGTCCGAGCACAGATGGCAAAAAGACAAAAGTTAGTCCTATTATTTACATGTTTACTTGTTTTGTTTGCACTATATGTATTTAAAAGACCTGTACCTGATTTTTATCCCTTGTATTTGAGCAAAATCTTTCTTGAGGTCAAAATAAGTCCACTGTGTACTGTCTGATAAGCAGGAATTCTGTGTTATCATACTATTGTTTACTTCAGCAAAACTCAACTCTGGTCTCTGAATGTTAACAGAAAAGAATCAGGTACAGCACCTTTAATTCCCTGTTATAATTCCTTCTCTACCAGGGCTCACGAAGAAGCCAATGCAGCTCGTAAATTAACTGCAGAACAGAGAAAAGAGAAAAAAGTGAAGAAGTTGAAAGAAGACCTAACTGACGGTGTTCATATTGCAGTTTACAGGTATGTTTGTAAATCTGACTTTTTTGTATATAAAAAATTACTTCCCTTTCATTTATCGTCTTCATTTCTTGCTTTCAGAATTCGCAACTTGCAAAATCCTGCCAAGAAGTTTAAAGTTGAAGCCAACGCCAACCAGCTGTACCTGACAGGAACTGTTGTCCTGCATAAAGATAGTAACATTGTAGTGGTTGAAGGAGGCAAGTTTATTTATTTCTTTTTAAATGAACCTAAACACATTTAGTTCATTGACTAAGTTGTAATTGGTCCATGTTTTTATTTAGGTCCCAAATCACAGAAGAAATTCAAAAGGCTGATGATGCACAGAATCAAATGGGAAGAGCCCAGCAGTAAAAGAGATGGTAAATAACATGTCTAATGTTTTTATATAATCGTATGTTTTTTCCTTGATTCTCTGTACATGAACTAAATGTTTTCCTTTTTAAATTTAGACCGTGATGACAATGATACAAAGAGGAACAACAAGTGTTGGTTGATTTGGGAGGTATGTCAATTAATTATAGCATTCATGATTAACTGTTTGCTATAATGTGGTTTCTTAAAGAAAATGCTAATAACCTACAAAAGGGCATTTCAGCGTTAAAATCAAGCAAAAATTTAAGCGGTGTATCATTTGACAGAAGTTTATAATGCTCTCATGCTTTCATGTTAGTTTATGAGGTCTATTTTAGTTTTTGCAGGTTCAGCTTGACATTCAATAAAATAAACAAAAAAACAACCAGCTGTGAAAAGTTTCATTACACTTAGATCAAAGAAGACAGTTCATACATCTGCACTGCCTGTTGCAAAGACACATTACACTGTGAAAGGAAAGAAGCAGATATAAACAGAATATCGATGTTTAAGTGAGCTTGGTTCACAAAAGTGAACATGCACATCAGTTTGTTAACTAGTGCATTCACTACATCTTCATTGTTAAATATACATGAATAATATAACACTTTTTCTATCAAAGATAAATTAAAGAAATTGAACAGGACGTGCATTCATGTTTTTATTCATGCAAGTCAAGTGTCTCATTCCTTTTTCTGATTAAAAATATATATTTTCCAGGGCACTGCCAAGGAGCGTAGTTTTGGAGAAATCAAATTTAAACAGTGTCCGACTGAAAGTATGGCCAGAGAACACTTCAAGAAGCACCGCACTGAACATTACTGGGACCTGGCTCTGAGCCACAGCGTGTTGGATGGCACCGATGACTGACTTTAAACTAAAGATATTTTTTATAAAGCGCCCCACTTTTTCTCCTCCTGCTGGTGACCTCCTGGACTGAAGAGCTTGTCAAGAAGCCAACTTGTGCTTTAAAGTCTATAATAACACATTATTTTTCTCACTGTATTTTGACGGAAAGGACAGAAACACTGTGTACGTCATGGTTTGATAACATGATGAAAGCTTGAGTTATCAGGCAGATGCTTCATAAAGAAATACAGTGTAATAGAGTAATGTTTTCAGTGTTAAAGCAGTTGACAGTTTTGAGTGAAGATGTGATAATAAAACAATAGGTTACAAAGAACAGCATAGAAAAAAGTTACCTACAGTTTCTTTGAGAACTGTTGCACACTAAACAAAGGGCTGGTTTAGGTTTGCCTGAGCAACGTAACCAGCTTTCTTTTTGGAAAGTCAACAACAATAACTTGCAATTTCTTTTTCATGTAATATAGCACCCAGTCAATAAAAACCTACATTTAAATCTGCCTCTTCTGTTGCATGATAAGTTCTGTTTTCACATGCAAGGGGCGTGTTTCCCCCTAGTGGCGTTTTGTGTGTGCGTCTTCACGTTTTGTGTGTGCGTCTTCACAGGAGCACAGTCACTGCGCATCCGTGTGCGCACTGTGCGCAGCGCACGAAAAGAGGATTGGAAAAATGGCGGCCGGTGCAGGGGCTGTGAGCGGGCAAGGGGCCCGCAGCTCCACCGCTGCACTGGAAGCGTCTTTGGACCGACGATTTCAAGGAGTATCCAACACTATGGAGTCCATACAGGGCCTATCTGCCTGGTGCATTGAAAACAAGAAACATCATGGCCAAATCGTCCGCTCCTGGATGAAGTGGCTCAAGAAATGTGAGTAACGTTCCCTCCATGCTAATGCTAGCCTCCTGAATGTGGCTAATGTAGAATGCTGCTCTTAAACTCTTACAAATTAGTTTTGGAGATTTTTTGGTTAGTTGTTTGAGTTAAGTGTGCACAATCCGCAGTTTGCTTACTTCACCCAGTAAATGTTTGTTTTCTTTGTCAGTTGTGCATTAGTGAGTTTGAGCTCATGTCGCATCAGAGTCTCGGTTGTTTACACTCGGGCCACTGGCGCACGGCACCTGCGATCTGCTCCTCACACTTTTATACAACATCACCACGGACGGCATTTTGTTTGCACCAATTTACTGTCAAACACTAGAGGCTAAAATCTGAAGAAGAAAAAAAGTCACTCATTGATAAACCTTTTTTTTTTTTCATAACTGCTTAGTTCAGTGTTTATTATCAGATACAGTGCAGGCTCACTTCATTAGACACGCAGCACATACATATACAACAGTGTAACAGAACTGTACTAAATAATATGGATGTTGTTAATGGATATTTCATTTGTATTGTTGACATCAGGCACACGAATTTGTGTTTTTTCAAAAGACTAAAGATGATTGTAATGTGCCATTATTTTTTATGTAGAGCAGCTCTTGTACGTTATATGTTGTAGTCTTTAGAAATCGACCCTTTCTAGCGAAAATTATATAAATGAATGTCTTAATTAATCTATTACATTTACAAGTACATTTTTGAATGAGGCAAAACTGGGAAGATGGTTGTGACATGGTAAAATATGTTGTTGCGGAGGCCACAGGCATATTCATGTGAAGCAGCTAAATGTTTAAAAAAGGTTGTGTATAAAGATATTTTAGGAACTGGCCCATGAAACAAAGCACCAGCTTTATATGTGACCAATGAAGTATTTGGAGTGTTGCAGATTTGAAAAGTTAAATTAATTTGATAATGTTTTTGTGTGTTTTTTGGAGATCAAGTAGCCTAACTGAATAGGAACTTGGTGGTGTCAATCAAAGTTCAAAGAAGAAATCTCTCTGTTTTGTCTCAACATGTAATATGCACCCTTGTCATGTCAATTAACTAAGCATTGATTTTGATGTGTTTGCATGAAAATGTTTGTCTAACATTAGCTGTAGCTTTATTATTACACAGGATAAGAAATGTGGGCCAACATAATGTTTGTGTTAAACTGGTGAGAATGGTTTTAGGCATTTCTAATTCTACCAAATTCTACCAAGATTTAAATAATTTATTGTCATGTATAACATAGTTCAAACTAGGCAATTAAATTGTTACTTACTTCCCTCGGCAATAGACTGCAGAGTTACCTCTGTAAAAAGACATTCACCTGGATCAAAAACTTCCAAAAGGCAGGCTGCAGACTTCCTTCCAAAGGTTCTACCTCCTGCCTACAAACCAGAATGCACCTCCATCAAGTCCCTCACCATTTTCATTAGTTTACATTATAAATTACTTAATTACACTTTCTATCAGTTGTTGCCATAGTTCATTGTGTATTACAGGCCATTAATGGTGGTAAAAATAATTTAATCTTGTTTAGAGCGAAGTCCTTCAAAGACATTTAATCACTAATGGATTTCATTTCTAGTTTGAAATGAACTAGCATCTTATTATCTCTTTTCTCCTAAACTTGTTGAGGTTAATTTGTAGTTTAAAGCATGTTTTCATAAACCAAAAACATTTAATTGTCAACATAGGCCTGCATATACAAGGGTGTAGCATAGGCGTATTGGATGTAGTTTCTCCGTAAATGTGTTGCCGTAGGCTTTGTAACTTGGTAAAATGAGGCACTAATCTGTAATGGTTAGGATTAGGAAAAGGGTTTTGGCTTGTCTTTAGAGTAAACTAATATCAACTTTTCTAACGTTATTAAATAGTGTTCAGGAAACAGTCGACTTTGTTAGTCTTTTGGCTTGGCCTTTGTTTGCTTTCACCGGTGGATGGAGGTCACGTGAGGATCCTCCTGGTGGAGGTCTGCGGCTTGGTCCACTGGGTGGATTTGTTTTGTGGATTTGTCAGTTTGTTAGTTTTTTGTGGCAATAATCAGATTTTAGCAATCCAACTAAAGTTTTTATACCTGCCTTATCTCCATACCTTCAATACAACATTTATGTTCATGATATCATTTGTTATTGGGTGTTCCAATTATCAGAAAACTGTACAGTGTCCAGTCACTGTTCAGAAATATTGATCTATGCCCTATTTGAAAGATTATAACACACGTTTGTTCTGTTGTTATTTTGAAACTGCTCTTTGCAGCATGTTGAGGTAAAATTTTTAATATTTTGCCGATCTCTATTGATGAGCCTTTAGTATTCTCGTTACTATTATTCTGATGTTGATTGTTATTTATTAATTTGCAACAACTTCAGCCCTGAAAAGGCCATAGTTGTGTGATGACTTTAGAGTTGTGTGACTGGCTGAATGAGCACAAAGGCTGAGTGTGTTTGGAGCTGGCTTGTTTTATCCTGTTGAATTATTCTACACTGCCCATTGACATTTTGCTGACAGCTTTGGTTCATCATCACTGTGGTCACATGTTGTTTGTCTGATCCAGATTCTACACGTGGCTTTTTAGATTATGAGACTGAGATGAATGAGGCAGCGAGCAGTGAAATAGAAAATCAAATGTGCTTTAGTTTATTCACAAAATATATAATTTTGTCTTTTTATTCAATAATAATTATGTCTTGTTCATTTCAAACTGTGTATTACAGACTGTTACTCTAGTCTTGATCAGAGGAGTATAAACTAAGACCCAGGGCCCAGATGTGTCTCACAGACCATATATTGACCCAAATTACCATAAGTAGTAGTACTTTTTACTACAATAATAAAAAAAATCTACCATCATAACTTAAGTAACAAACATTTTAGGATGAGATAGACCGAATAATAAGGTTTTAACCTCCAAGGCTCAGCAAAATTGTAGTGGTTCAGTAAACCTGCACCAAGATGAATGCTTCACTGTATTTGCCATCATTACCAGACTCTCTGCAACATTTATGTTTGAAAAGGGGCCTTTGTTTAAAAAAGGTTTAAACATACCACTGATATGCATGATTTAAATAATTTATTGCTATTTTAGTAGTCGACTAGTCACAATTGTCCAGAATCATTGTTGCAGCTTGATTTACCACTACAGTGTCAAACACAGATTGCAATATAGTCTGGCATACTAGAGCCCAGTGTTTGTTTACATAATAATTGTATTTATTGTGATGTCCTAGATTAGACAAACAGAAGCAAGCCATGATAAGTCAGGATCAGATTGTTGTTGAACACATTTACTTTCACAGTTTATTTATGGAAGCAATGCTGAACAATATTTCATTTTATGCTATAAATACTTTTCAATAAAGCATTTTGTGGTGTTTATATTATTATTAATTTAAATGTTAAAATGATTGTGGAGATGTGATTGTACTTATGCCCTTGTGTTTTGCTATGCTCTGATTTTTTTGTTTTTTATGTTTTTGTCCAGCTGACAACAACCACCGCCTGAATCTTTTCTATGTTGCCAATGATGTGATTCAAAACTGCAAGAGGAAGAACGCCATCGTCTTCCGGTCCAGTTTTGCAGATGTCCTTCCAAATGCCTCTCAACTCATCAGGTGATATAATATTAACTAATATTCCCCATATATCTAGTAATACTCTCTCTTTCTTGGCTGTTATTTTAATAATTTTTATCTTACCTTATCTAATGGATGTGTCGATAGAGATGGAAAAGTCCGCAAGTCCATTGAGAGGATATTTACAATATGGGAGGAGAGGAGTATTTATCCAGCGGAAAATATTGCCCAGTTCAAAGCGAGTCTGAACAAAAAGGAAGAGAGAGAGAAGCAGAGAGAAAAGGAGAAAGAGAAGAAAAAGGACAAGGAAAAAGAAAAAGAGAAAGAAAAGGAGAAGGAGAAAGAGAAGCCGCCTCTGACTTCAAGTGGTGAGTTTATCCAGCAAGTCTGCTGTGTGTCCCAAACATTTGTACTGATCTGTATATTTACCTCATTTTGCTCTCTAGCACCAACAACAACTAAAGCCGCTCTTAAATCTAAGATTCTGGCTGAGTTTACTGTAAGCCTTTCTTTCACTGTTCTTTGAAAGCCAATATTATATAACTATGCTAAGCTAACTTGTATCTTTATGTGATTTTTAGCCTCAGTCTCTCATTGAAGACTTGTCTCAGTACAAACAAGCTGTAGCAGAAGAAGAGTTCAGAGAGAAACAGTTGTCGACTCTGAGAGTGGACGTCTGCAGCACAGAGGCTTTGAAGAGACTTAAAGGTAGAACACAGTCTAATTATACAGTACAATTATTGCATAAATAATTATATATGTTTGAACTATTGATGAAAATATAAATGTTTATATTTTACTTTAAAAAATTTTAGACAAGGCTGGGGGAAACAAATTTGCCAAGGATTTTGAAGAAGGTAGTCTCAAGCTACAAGAGTTTGTGAGCTTTCTTGAGAAAGAGATGAAAAGAGGCCCTTCTCTGCTGGAGTCTTTGGGAAATGCAGACATTTTCTATGAAATGCAGTATAAAGAGGTCAAAATTGTGGCCAATGTAAGTACAGTGCAGGTGATGATGATGTGCATGTGGATGTATATTAAACAAATGGTGATTGTGACTATCCCCTTCTCAGGCCTATAGTGCCTTTGCCAACCGCGTGGCCAGTTTAAAAAGAAAACTGGATTCTCTTAAGGCAACTTTACCTGGAGCAGAGGACTCGCCCATCCCCTCGCCCTCAGAGGACGCCCCCTCTCCCACAGGCTCAGAGTCTCCGCTCCTGCCTCTAAGAGTGAACAGAGCTCAGGTCGACCCAGAGCTGGACGGGAAAGCTATGGACGAATCCATTGACAACCCAGAAGATGAGATGGATGTATCTGATGAGGACGCAGAGGGTTAGTGGTGAAATGTCATGTTCATGGATGCATTTAGTAACATTTACTTACATCAAGTCTGCATTTCTGTCTTCTCTTTCCCCCTCGTTTCAATTTCACTTTTTAATTAGCAGAAAACAGGAAAGAAAAGATGATCCTGACAGTAGATAGTGCAAAAATTCCAACAAAAGCGTCAAAAAATAATGCATCTGCTTCTGCCACTGCCGGTACAAGCACCCCCACGTCTGCAAATGCTCCAGCCAACCCTCTTGGAGTCAACCTGGCCAAAGTGGACCTGGGCAAGATCAGCTCCATCCTTAATTCACTCACATCAGCCATGAAGAATACAAGTACGTTCTGGAAACGGTATTATAGGTCGAGTGCATTCAGCGCCTTGTTAATTTCAGCCCCCTGTGCTCAGTTGTCTTGTCCTATATGAACATTTGTTGGCTGGAAAATATATTCAGCATGTCTAGATTTGCAGGGTTTAAATGCAAACCCTCTTGCTCTTAAATAAAACATATTTGATTAATTACTGTCCTCTTTGTAGCAAGTCCAGCTCTCAAGTCAACTCCAGGGACCCCCTCAACTCCGTCGGGACAGTCATCGGCCTCAAAAACGGCTTCTCCCAGCCCCGCTCTCGCTAGCATCTTGTCTCGTGTTGACATCACTCCTGAAGGCATTTTAAATGCTCTTTCTAAAACAAATACATCAGGTGAATCTCAAATGGTTATCATTAATTCATATTTTTAAATAATATTGTTCCTGTTTGTTTTTAATCCTGCCTTCATATGTTTGCAGGTTTGTCTTCTTTACTGCATAGTGTAACAAACAGCTCTGGTTCAGCCAGTCGCACATCTCCTCCAGTAAAACCATCTGTAAAAACACCAGTCACCCCAACACCCCCTAAGACCAAACCCTCTCTAAGTGGCACTGTCAAACGAGAAACTCCAGGACGAAACAAGGACAGAGAGCGGCAGCTGTCTCCTCCTTCACCGTCACGAAGCATAGCTCCGCCCATGTCCACCCCTAGTTTAGAGTCTAAAATTAACAGCTTTTTGCAGGGTAATCCTGGCTTTAGTCTGGCGTTAGGTGATCTCAGTCCTGATGGAGTGGATGGGACCCCAGTTCGAGACGAGGCCGCGTGTACCCCCACGCAGGACGAGATGATGGACACTCCAGGAAGTGTCCCAGAATCTTTAGGGTCGTCTGGAAGCCGTCCCCTCTCACCCACAGCCTATCGCAGTGAGCCCTGGGACGCTGTGATCACCCCAACTGGAAGCAACAGTGAGGGGGAGGTTTTAGGCTCCTCTCGATTTGGAGCTGTGAAAAAGAGCCACACAAAACTGAAAGAGGAGGATGTTAGGATGCACACTACCTCGCTCTCTAGTAAAGAAGTGTTAAAGGGTAAGGGCGATGGACCGTCTGGTTATTATAAAACCAAAGCTGTAGGAGAGAGGAGAGTATCTGCTGGGTCTCGTAAGGTGAGCACAGGCTCAGAGGATGGAGGTTTCAGTGGGAAAAGAGAGGGCAAAGCTCGGGGTGGGTCACCCGGGGAGGGTCAGTACCACCGCATTGAAACACTTGTGTCACCATGCACTGAGGGGGCACCCATAGAAACTCTAGGTTACTCAAACAGGCCTCTCACTGGGGAACCCATCAGAACTGTAGAGAGCATTCGAGTGATTGACCGCGGGCCTCGGCGTGGGGGAGGTGGAGGGAGTCGTGGGGGAGGTGGCATGTGGTATGAAGAGGAGGAGTACATGGACGCACAGCCATCCTCACCTATCGCTGCACCCCCCCCTTTAAGCAGGAACAGAAGGAACTCTGAAGAAATAGCTCCCGCTCTTCAACTCCCTCTGCCCCCTCCTCCACCCCCTCATCCTTTTCTCCATCTTCACCCTCCACCGCCTCTCCCTCCACCACCTCACCTTCCACCGCCACCTCACCTCCCACCGCCACCTCACCTTCCACCCTCTCACCTTCCACCCTCTCACCCGCCACCCTCTCACTCTCTCCCCCCTCAGCCCCACACTTTGCCCCCACAGCCTCACTTTTCTGTCTCGTACCCCCATGAAGCTCCCCCAGTCCCTCTCCACCAGCATCCACCTCCTACTTCTCCCTTCTTTAACGCGCACATGTCCCTGCCCAGACCACTACCCCCACCCTTACCGCAAAAGCCCCCAACTCCTCCCCTCTGCTCCCCTGTGCCCACAGCCGTGATGGTGGGTGGGGTGTTGATTCCTGTGGAGCGTCCCTTACCACTGTCTGCCCCAGTGAGACCAGAGGGGCCAGAGAGGCCAGAGCGAGGGGCTCCCAGACCGGGTAAAGGAGGCCCTCGCTTTATGACATCATTGCTGGGTGAACCACCGCGGCTGCCTCGCCCAGGGACAGTTAAAGAGCCTTTCGGGCTTCGAATGGCACCCCCCCTCCACCGCCCAGGCACTCCTGGAGTTCCTCCACCTTTATTGGGCCGAGTGAAAGAGCCTCAGAACCTGCCACCTCCACTCCCTTCTCCCCCTGGTACATCCACTTCCCCTTCTCCTTCCCCCCCTAACTCACCTGTCAATACTCCTCCAGCTGTCCTACTAGTCCCACCCAGTACTACTCCGTCAGCGGAATCTCCTGAACAGAAGCCCCCTGAACAGAAAGTTCCTGAGCAAAAAGTTCCTGAGCCAAAGACTCCTGAGCAGAAAGTTCCCGAGCAAAAAGTTCCTGAGCAAAAGATTCCCGAGCAGAATGTTCCTGAGCAGAACACCCCAATCCCTGCCCCGCCTCGTCCCAAAGCCCCTGTTTCTCTTATGAACCTGCCCAGGCCTCTCATCATGACAGAGCCCATCCCACAGAGACCTCTGGTGCGAGGCCGACTGCCTCCTCCAAGTTTCAGAGGCTACAGAGGGAAGCGCCATGGTCCCCCCTTTGGAGGTCCCTTCTATCCCCCAAAAAGACCCTTTCTGCCCCCCCGCTACTGAAGTGGTCCTCTCTGACATGAGTTCTCTTGAACACACTACTGTGTGTGTTAGCTGGTATGAGCCTAGGCCTTCTCTGTTGGCTAGATGGACAGTATTGTGTGTAAATAACCCAACAGCGTCATAGGAATCTAAGTTCAGAGTGTCACAAAACTAACCCGACATCTACGTTTTCATTTTTCAAATCATGAGAAATACTTTTTTTTTTTTTTTTTTTCAAACCAAGAAAGAGAGCAGGAGGAATGTACATAATGGGTCTTTTAGGATAGACAAATATAATACTTTGAAGTGATGGAGAGTAATCCAAAAACGTAATCTTTGCTTCCCATTGGATGTGTGCTCCTTTTTGCTGAATAATGGTATTTTGGTTGTTTTTTTCCTGCAGTTGAGGATGTTCTTATTTCTCGTGTATCTATTGTAAATAAGCTGTCGCTAACCCTTTCCACCTTCTTTCTCTCTGCACTGTATATTGCTAAGCTTGTATAATATAAAGATTTCGTTGATCCAGCTTTTTCTTTTCAAACTCTTGTGTGTAAAAACAAGACAGTGACTGTAGTCCAAGCATCCTGTCTTTACTGTTTTGAGGCCTTGTTAAGCTTTTAAATGCGTTTTCAGCCGTATGTCACTGTTTTAGTTTTAGACTATGAGACAGAAGACGAGGTTGACAATATTCAAATACTTCTATCAGAATAAATGTCTGCCTGTTTTATTTTCATGATGGCGTCAAGGAATATCATCATAGTAGATGGGATATTCCACCATACTCCACTCTTAGCAGCTTTCAACATGTAAAGACTTAATAAAATACAGAGTATGTGACTTCAAGGAGGGGGGGTATTTTATTTGGTCAGTGTCTTATCTTCCGAAACGGGTGTTTATTCTGCGCAGTCTCCTTTGACCATTTGCCAGTGTGTATTTGAATACCTGAATTTCTCTAGGCCTTTCAAAATCAATATATTGTTTTACTTAGTGATTCATGCTATTCACTTGTATGTGGTAAAGGCTGCCTTTATAGGCTTGACAAATGTATCTAAAATGGGATGCACTGGCTCATTGGTCATTTTCCCTGTATCAGGGTAATCTGAGTATTTCCTACATTCGTTACGTCAACGCTGATAGTACAAAAAACATTCTATAACACATAATATATGTATCAATGCTACATGACCAGGAATGGACATTTTTATTATTCACCCAAACTTGAATACAGGAGTGAAAGTCACTAATTACAAATGTGTACTACTGTAATTCAAAATCATTCTCAAGAACACAAGTCCCAATTGTCCCAATGTATGGCTGTCTTACCACTGTCTCTCCTCCTTTGCACACTTTCTAATCCCTCAAACACACATGACAGCACTGCATCACCTGCTCTTATTGGGCAGAGCTTTAAGAATATGCAGAATTAAGTTTTAAAAATGAATTAAACTTTGCACAGTTTCATTTATTAAATATTTTATATAAAAGATTGTTAAAAGTAATTGAGTACATCTGTGGCCATGTAACTATTCTTATCTATAGTAAACATTTCAGTACTCTTTCCACCACAACTTGAATGTTAAGTCAATACAGCATTTTCCCCCCAATTTCACATAAAATAGGTTATGCTCACAACAAATAATATGAATCCAACCCAACAGTGGGGTTTGATTCTTTTACTGTTTACATTGGACCATCCATCTGACATTGACATCATTAAATTCTACAATGTGAAAGCAACTTATATGTTAATATTCTTACAATTACAGTGCAAATGATGATTTTCAACGTTGCTCTTTTAGCACTATGCTCTATATTTCTTATGTTGTGTAATCACACACACAGGAATCACAATGTTGTTAAGAACCAATTTCTGTACATTACACTGGCACTGAACCCTGCTGATGCCCTGGGACTGATTTTTATTTTTGTTTATTTATTTTTGCCGCACGCCTCTTGTCTATCTGCATGAGGAAAACGGTGTCCCACAATGATACTTAGTGCTCTGTCTGCAGAGTTGATATTACAGCTGACTTCGTGTGGCACCCGCCCCACACCACACGTTTCAATAGTGTAGTTAAGGTGAATGGCTCCCCCAAGTGGAGCGTTGTTGGTACTTCAGTACCTAATAAATGGCCATATCCGTGTATAGCAATTTAGTAAATACACCCTGTCTTCCGGGGAAATCATCTTCTTGGATGTTCAAAGATATGTGCAGGCCTGTCTACGTTGTGGCCAGATTAATTTTGACATTTTATGTTATCTCAAATGGGTAGAAACATTTCCAAATGTTGTGCAAGTTAAAAGATGTTCATGTTCCTTAATTCTTTTTTCATAGTTGACCTGAAGTGTTTTTATCCTTGCTAATTAGATAAATAACAACATACATTGTGGGGAATTTAGTTTGATATCCGTGATTCAGAGTGCCGGGACGGTGCCATGTTTAGAATTTATCATTAATGGGATACAAACTGTGGATATGGGAAAGATGAAGCCTATTAATCGTCTGCTCTATGCATTTTCTTCTGCCAAATCCTATTGCATTTCAGTAAACACTTGTATGTTCGTGTGGGTGTGCGCGCTCTGAGGCTCATGGACGCGCACGTAGAGTCGCGTCTCCACATTGTCCCGCCCCTTTCCTCTGTAGCCAATCACCTGCTGCTCTGTCTCTGCTGGTTTCCGGTGTTATGGCTGCCCTTAGATTTGAGGGCAATGATGTGATTACTACTTTATATACATGTGCTTTTAGCAAAGATGGTGATGCAAGTTATTCCTCTTATTTTGTGTCGGACACTCGCTCGCAATATTATTCACGGACAAAGGACTTACGTCAAGGTGCGAGACGCTTGTGACTTGAGACCAAAACAATTAGCATTAGCCCCCGATGCTGCCTCTCATGTCATTACTAGTCTCTATGAGCATTGTCTTGGAAGTTTGTGGCTATTCAGATAGTTTTGTTATAGATTTACTCCATGTATTTGTGAAACAGGAAAAAAAATGTGTGGGCGTGTAATACAGTTGTTATTATGCAAGTAATAGCCGTGATTCACAAGGATATTGATGTTCCTGTTTTGAAGTTTATAAAAACATACACAATATTGCACAGATTAATTCCTCCTGCTCTCCTCCTTTTTAAGTTAATTCGATTTTTTTGTTTGTTTGTTTAAAAGCTTTATATTAATGTCATACCACATTCATTATTACCTGTTTCATAATATTTTAATGGTTTCTGGATTATGTCTTGCAGGTATCCTCTTTTTCACTCAAGCAACTGCAGTTATTTGACTCTCTTAAGAAAAAGCAGGAAAACAGTTGCACAGATGATGGGCCTGCAGGTGAAGTGAAGCCTGTGACTGTACGTTTGGCCAGTGGTCAAACTCTTGAAGCGAAAGCAGGATGCACCACTCCTCTCAACATTGCACAAAGAGCCCGGTAATTATATATTTACACTAATTGTCTCTTTTTGTGCAGGAGTATTATCTGTAATGTTCTTTTTTTTCTTCTGTGTCTTCCCCTAGTGTTAAAGGGGCTTTGGTCACCAAAGTGAATGGAGAACTATGGGAGCTTGGGCGACCAATACAGGCTGACTGTGAACTGCAGTTCTTGGGCTTCGAGACCCCTGAAGGACGACAGGTTTGTGAACATGGTGGTCTACTTTTTAACTTTCTTTTTTTTTTTTACCTGGTTTATTTTTCCTTTATTTCAAAATGCCATTGCAATTAGATTCTCTAAATTGTATTTACATTAAAGTCAGATTGCATTAAAGTCAAATTATTTGGTATGTTTATACTTTAACAATGCGCAGCAAGTCTAATATGTTCAAATTATATGCGTTGTTGCCAAATTATAGAGGATATATAAACATATACAAATATATAAACTGTAAATAAATATATTAAAAGGCATTAAGTAAAGTCTGTACTTCAAAATATGTATCAAATTAAACAGACCTCCTGTCCCACTACTGGGAATCTGTGGATAACAATGGTTTTGTAACCTCTATATGTTTTATAGGCTGCTTGGAGGACAGGGGCCTGTGTGCTTGGTGCGGTGCTCAAGTCTGATCTCAGGGCACAGGTTTACAGAGAGGGAACAACAGAGCTGGGTCTTTTCTGTGATCATGTTTTGAAGGACAGGTACATGTTTCACTGTTAAAAATGAGTCCCACTCCTTATGTTTTTTACCTGTAAACATATGCCCTCTGCCTTATTTCTCCAGTGTGCTGACTTTGTGTGACATGGAGGAAAGATGCTTGAAGGCGGCTGCTCAGAAACTCCCTCTCACTAGACTGGATCTAAGTATTGAGGAGGTCCAGGAACTTTTTCAGGTATGTTCAAAGGCATGTTTGTGTTATTAGAAATGGGCAACTCCATTACAAAAAGCTGTTTTACTAGTTATTCTGAGAAGGTTACTCATTTTTTTCCCATTAATAAAGTTCATGATGACTCCCCATAGTCAGAACAAAAAGCAGAACAAAAATGTGGTAATGCAAATGATACTTTATGCTTGTAGTATTGTAATAACATGTAGAAGTAACTCTTTTAATCTGCGATCAGCACTTCATTTGATCAGTAGAGGCAATAAGTGACATTTATTCTCAAAAACAGTATTACATAAAATTATTCAAATATAGAATGCTTGTGCCATCATAGTCTCAGTACAAACCTATGGGAAATACTATTACAACTTATGGTATTCAATCTGGTGTGTGTTAGTTTCAGTGAATAATTGTTTATAAATATTGATGCAATAGAAATGTGATATATTCAAGTTTGTATTTTGTCTTACAGGATAATGAGTTGCGTCTTCAGCTTGTTGAGGAGCAGATGTCTGGCCCTGTTGTCTCTGTTTACAGGCATGTATTCAATAGCACCACTCAGATCAGGGTGATCTTGGCTTTAATTAGGTTAAATATGTCATGTTTTGTTTTTTCAGGTGTGGGGACAGTATAGGAGTCTGCGATGGTCCACTTCTTCCTCACACAGGCTACCTTAAGATTTTCAAAATGCTTCAGGTTAGTGTGCATGATCAAACCTCAGAAAAACCTATTGATACATTGCTACGTTAATGTAATGACATTCCCATTTTCTTTGTAAATAATTTAAGAATATTTTATGGAGCAACAGTGGTGTTGGTGGATTCTGGTTTAAACCACACTGGATGTGACTGGATATGATTGCTATGGAAACTGTCAGAAATGTTGTTAAAATGTATTTCTAAAATAACATTGACCGTAGATGTCAATAAGTGATGATTATGACTTTTCCATGACTTTTGTCTCTTACTTGATTATGTATTTAGTTTTATACTTTTTTTTCTCACTCAAATTGTCATTTCCCATTTGCAGATTTCACCTGTAACGTTGTCAAATCAGACAGAGGTCTCAGGTTTGATGCGTCTTTTAGGGGTAGCCTTCCCCGGGGCCAAGGAGCTGGAGGAGTGGGAAAGGGAGCAGGAAGAAGCTCGAAGGAGGGACCACAGACGAATTGGAAAAGTACAGGCACATTTTCTGTTTTGTGAAAAAACCTGTTTGCATTGAAAATATGCTTCTAATTTATTTTTTGCATGCAGGACCAAGAGTTGTTTTTCTTTAGCGATGTTAGTCCAGGTAGTTGCTTTTTTCTACCTAAAGGAGCCCATATCTACAATACTCTCACAGATTTTATTAAGGTGAATAAAATTTATTTTCCACTTAAATCTGTTAACCTCAGTATAAGTGTTGTCAGTTAAATAATAATTTCTTTGGGACCTGTTTATATTGAACAACAATGGTCAACTGTTTGTTTGATGTTAAATCTTCTGTTTATTTTTGTTTTTCCAGAGTGAATACCAAAAGAGGGGCTTCACTGAGGTTGTGACTCCGACTTTGTACAGCACTGCATTATGGGAGCGCTCTGGCCACTGGGAGCACTACAGCGAGAACATGTTCACTGTTACATCAGAGGGATCCCAGACATATGCACTGAAACCCATGAACTGCCCTGCACACTGGTAAAAACAAGTGCATACTGCTAAAATGTTTATATATTAAAATAATTTCAATTCAGAATATTAATCTTGGTTTGAATAGTTTGACTATTTTAGATTTTATTGCTTTTATAGTGTAAATTACTTTACTTTTTACATGACATTTATAATTGTTTTCCAGATTTAAAAAAAAGCAAACATAAGACAACTTGAAATGCAAGTACAGTTTTCTTTTAAAATAAGAATGTATTGAAACTGCTCAAATAATATAGGTCAAGTAAATCTAAACTTGTCAAAATTGAGATTTGGGTTACAAACACACCTCATTGTAACTGGATCTAAGCAGCTGAAACCAGGACAAATGCTCCCTAATATTCTGAATTCAAGTCAATTTAAAGATACTCCATGTAAATTTTTTGGTGGAGGGATAGATGACATTAATGCCAGTGGAATATTCCAAACAACTTAGACAAGCTGGTGATGAATCCTTCCCAGAAGAGTAACAAAGGCACCTTTTAGAAAATCCATATATTCATTATTTATTCATTGAAAGGAGAACATTTCACATTTATTTTAGTGTAACTATCTGTCTCTGTGTGTCCAGCCTCATGTTTGAGCATCGTGTTCGGTCATGGAGGGAGTTGCCTCTGAGGTGGGCTGATTTCGGAGCGTTGCATCGAAATGAACTCTCTGGAGCTCTGGGCGGCCTGACCCGAGTGCGCCGCTTCTGCCAGGATGACGCTCACATCTTCTGCACCCCTGAGCAGGTACAGAGAATCTGAATGCTGCTGTTTAGACATCTGTGAATGTGCTGAAATGCATATGAGTTTTATATTAAGCCAGTGGTTCAAACGGTGAGAACTGCTGTGTTAAGCATTTCAGGCTGCTTTCAGATCTACCTGGTCATTTTAAAAATGTGCTCTATGACCAGAATTTAGATTTTTAGAAATTACAACTTTAATTGCAATATTTTAATAAATAAATAAATACAAATTGGATATTTTCTCCTAATTGTTCAACCTTAGTGCACACTTATGACTTTTTGAGTAACTGTGGCAGATCTGTTAATGAGACACATGTGGAGCCATATTACCCTTATTAGACTGTTGTACTGAGGTCCGGGGGCATTCCAGGAGGCCTGCGAGTGGATGAATCAGGGTCTTTGTCCTGTAAAAACACGCGGCGCTCATATGTTGATGAGTGGAGCTATAGCAGCGCTGTACAGAGAGTGAAGCTGATCCCCTACACAGCGCCCAGGGATGTTCTCATGTAACTCAGCAGGCTCCAGCCGCCTCGACTCTGACAGGCTGTTTATGCACAAGGATTATATTCGGACACATATGAACAGTCTCTCTGGAGCCAAAGAAACTCCAGCTCAGTTTGAAGCACTAGCTCTAGGGCTGCAAAATTCTGGGATTTATTTTTTTAATCAAGAATAAAGACAATGCAGTTTGAGTTCTAAACTAGAGAACACATTTTAAGATCCCACAGTGAGGAGATATTTTAGTTTGTAAAGTACAGTGTGAATTCTTGATTATCTACATTTATTTTGATTAGTAAGAAATTATTGAAATTGCCAACAATGCAAATGCACTAAACTGAAGACTGGTTACTTTTAGTATAGAACATTACATTTTACTAAGGTAAATTCCCCTCACTAAATATCTTATTCTTATTTATATTCATGAACTAAATATTAAAAGCTCTCATTAAATTTGTGATTGAACAATGCAAGGAAAAAAATATTTTTATGGTTTTGCGTACAAGGACTTCTCAGTCATGTGTCCAGTATGATTAAATATATGTTTTTCCTCTGCAGTTGGAGGAGGAGATCGTGGCCTGTCTGGAGTTTGTGCGCTCTGTCTATCACGTCTTTGGCTTCACCTTCCAGTGCCTTCTGTCCACACGCCCAACACCGTGTCTGGGGGAGCCTGAGCAGTGGGACAGTGCAGAGGAGGTACTCATTAACATGTACTTGTAGCTGTACCATTTTGTACCAGTGGAGTAAAATGTGACTGTATCCTGGAAATATTTAACTAAAAGACTATAATTAATCTTTAAACCACATGATAAGTTAATGTTATTCCTTTAGCCAATAACTGTTATAGTGGTACTTTCCAGCAGAGAGCTTCCCTCTTTATCCTCCAGGATGTTAGGCTCAATTGGAAATAATCTAAAGACAATTATTTTTTTAATGCTGAAGTTAATGGACTGGCTATTGTATCAAGGATCAGAATGAATCTTATAAGGGTGTACACTTTAAAAACACAGAGGAGCAAATTTGATATTATGCAAACTAGTGGAAGTATTTTGGGACTTAAAACATGTGACAATATGTGACTTTAAAACATGATTAAAAGCTTAAAACACTCTTGATGTTATCTTAAAATGGGGCCTTATTCAGTATTTGATTCTTTCTGCTCTTTTGTATAATCCAACACTACGCCCCACTGTGGTTTTACTCACCAGAACTTTCACAAGGGCTTTGAAGTACTTGGGTCTGTGTTATGACTGCTTTTTGTGTGTCTGTGTGTTTGAGCAGCAGCTGGAGAGGAGTCTGCAGCACTTCGGAGAGCGCTGGGAGGTGAATCCAGGGGATGGAGCTTTCTACGGGCCAAAGGTCAGTGCCAACAGCAACTGTATGAGCCAAGAAAACAGATCTTCAACCAAAACTATGCACTTTCAAGACAAGGCGAAATAAATCCACTTTTTGTATATAGCACATTTCATAAACAAAACAATTTCCAAAGGGCAGCACAATACAGATAAATTACAATGAAAATATAACATTAATATATAACATTAAGCTCTGTTTAACTCCACTAGTCCTCATTAAGGCAATGACACTAGTAAAATGAAGTAAAAGCAAAAATATTATTAAATATAAGGGCAACACTATAAAAATAAATAAAAGACGTAGACACACACAACTCCCGCTGTGTTAAAAGCCAGAGTATCACATCAGACTTGGATGACAAAAAAAAGAAAAAGGGAAACACAATATACAAGAGGGACATGAGATCTGAGATATGAGATCTCTTTTTTAATCCAACACAGAAAAAAAAACACACTGCAGTCTCGTATGTACTCCCTCTCAAGGACCAGATGGTTGGTGAAATGACTACATATAATTGAACAGCCCACTACAACAATCTCATCTAAATCTTCTATTACTCTCTACTACTTCTCCTACACTATCAGTATCAGCCATTATCAACAGATCACTTACCAGATCTACAGCGCAGATGAATTCTATACATAGAAACCTCTCCCCCTCCCTCTCCCTTATGTGTGTGAGTGCGCACATACGCACACACTCACACACTCACACACATAATACCCCACCCTCCCCTTGCCCTCCTGCGCTCTTCTGTGTCTTCTTCTGTTTTATCTCCACTTGTATTGTTTTTATTGTCTTTGTAAAGTTCTGTGTTGTGCTAAATAAAAAATAAAAAAAGGTCGTGGTGTAAAAGTAGGTCTTAAGAAAACACTCTTAACTTTACTTTAAAAGAACAGAATAATAAAAGAGTAAAAACTAGGGCAGGGTATCATTAAGAAGTTGCCAATACGATACACACCTTGATACATAGACCACAATACGATACATATCTCGATACAGTGCACTTTTGATTAAGTTTTTCACATTGATTCGATACAGTTCAATTAAAAATAATGGCTAAATCATGGCTGTGATACTAAAAGTTTTTCTTAAACCACTTCTCGCTCAAAGTGAATATGAAACACAAGCATTTTATAATAATAAATAATAAAAACAGTGAAAATGTCAAATGTGTTGCATAAATGAGTTTACTTCCACTAAACAAGCAACAAAACCTTAACGCTATAGCAAAATAATTTAGTAAAATATACCAAAAAAATATACCTGCAACAGATGATCGGAAAAATCATGGCAAGTTGACTATTAAAATAATCATAATCGTATTGTTAAGTGGACTATACATGCTCTAAAACACATGTCAAAAGATCTTTTATATTATGCTTTATTTGTAAATATCCTTTATCTAGAAGCCTTCACTTACAATAAAACAATCTTTATTTGCTTGAAAATTTATTTTAAAAATCACAATGCAAAACAGAAATAATCGTTTGGCTAATTTACTACTCAAGAAACAACTGCTGAAGAGTCAAATACTAAAATAATTATTATTACCAGCCGCTTTATTACAGTCTTGTAATTTAACTCTGTTTTACTCAGTGTTTTTAAAAAGCAAAATCGTGAAATAACAGACTTCTTACAATCCTTCATGATCAAATCCACCGACCTTTACTTTTGCTAGAATTTATAACTAAGAAGAAAGAAAGAAAAACACCATCAAAATGGTTTTCAAATGTATTATAATTTTAATATGAACCCAAGGATGATGATCTTATTGTCTTACTGATTTCACAGCTGAGGAATGCAACTTTTGATAGACGATAAAGTACAGACTATAGAAATCTGGGCCAAAAATGTCGTCACTGGAACTGAGAGATTGACAATATTCTCATTTATTCACATCTTGATTTTTAGATCTACTCTTCTTTGTTACTAAAGGTGCAATGTGTAACTTTTCTGGTGGATGATCTCACACTGTTTTGTCTTTATGGAGATTATTACTTATTACTTTGTTTAGAACATTACGTATTCTTTAAAATGTTGCGTAAATTAGTTTTAGGGGGCCTTGTGTGATCTCTACATCCCCATTACAGACAGACAGGGATTAGCTGGTCTAAAATAGTACACAGTATTTCATTAGACTTTACTATTTCCATGGAGACAAACACATGATGCCAACAGGTCAAGCTACAGGTCAGATCTGAGGAGTGGCAAGTCCTCACCGTAACTAGATAGTGAAGTGATAAGTGTTATGTCATAGGGATGTAACATTAACCAAAATATCAGGATATTGTATCGTCAAAAGTCTCTCAGTAATATCTTGGGCCATTACAATATGAAATCACAAATTTCTTTGCTTAAATTCATAGTTATGATGTAGCAAAATAAATAAAAAAAACAGAGGGAACTACATCGACCATGATCCTTTGCTCCGTTTTGATGCAAACTACATGAAGACATAACAGTTCTAAGCACTTTTGAATCTTAGTTCTTTGAATTAAGTCTTGTTAAGGCATTTTAAGAGGAAAATATTCACAATTTTGTTCACCCCCACAAAATATCGCAATAAATACTGTACCATGGGATGTATATTTTGAAAATATTGTACCCGTACCGTGAGATTTGGATATCGTTACATTCCTATTATGTCATACAATGTGGAATATTACAAGTATCTCCATGGAGTCACGCACAATGTGGACCTCACATCAGAAAAACTATTAAGTGCATAATTTATATCAAGTTTTCAGCAAAGTTTTTTTTTAATTTTTTTTAATGATGAGTCAGTGAGCACAAGGAGGAAGCCAGCGTCAGGCAAACTTTTACACAATCAAGGTCAAGAACAAGCGCAGAGAAGGAGGTATGTATGTTCAGGGTGTGGCTAGAAACACAAACAAACTGTATCTATAGCCACATAGCCAGGGCGGGTTGACTATAATTAGATATATCTATCTTGACACAACATTTGTAATAATTACTGCCCACAAAAATGCAGCAGTTAGCCTTAACGCAGTTGTAATCATAGTTTTAGATCTATATCTAAAATGCAATTAAATGGACAAATTGAACCTAATGTAAACTAATTTGTTCACAGATTGATATCCAGATCAGAGATGCCATTGGGAGGCAACACCAGTGTGCAACAATCCAGCTGGACTTTCAGCTGCCTATTCGATTTGATCTTCAGTATGTGGGGTGAGTCATGAGTCAATCATTTATTTGGATTTGTCAAATAATAATATAAAACAGAAAGAGAGTCTAAGGACAGGAGATGCTTTTCCATTTGCTTGTTTTATATAAATGTTGTTTTCTGTCTGTTTCTAACGACTGTTTCACTGTTTGATTTTATTTCTGTGGGTTAAGTCAACATTTGTGTTAAGCCTCATGAGGTGATTTCTGTTGTGATTTTGGGCTTTACAAAAATAAATTGAATTGAACTAAATATTGACACAGACATCATTAATCGTAATATATTTTGAAGTGTTATTAACCTGATAAATTACTGAAACATACATGGGTGACATCTAAAATCCCTTCTGACTTTTTGATCACGGAACAATGTTATAACATGGTAGAAAGCTCAAACAAGTTGTTTTTGCAGAATATTCCGTCTTTCATTTTGAGTTTGTGGTGTAGACCTGAGAGAATAACATATTTTGAAGTTTGATTACATTGCTATAGAGCATATCACAAATACACAGCAATATTGAAACTACTATGCCACTGAAACATTAACCCTGAAGCAGGATAATTCCAGTAAACCTTTCTAAATGTCATCAAAATCATTAAAAACCTGAGCTGCTATTTGTAAATAAATAACAAAAAAGGTAGTATCCTGTGCAGATTAGTAAGTCAATTTACTTATTCAACCCCCTACAGCACAAATATTATCATATCAGAAAAATAACTAAAAATTTCTCAATAATGCAAAGATACACATGATAAATATTAACTCCCAGATAATATTGTTCCATCTCTCATTTATTGATCTGTAGGTTAATAACCCACTTCTACATTTTAACCCTCTGTAAAACCAGAAATTGTGTATGAAAAAAACAGGTTCATATTCTCAAATATTTGAGAGATGTTGGACATACCGGGTCTGCTTTAACATTTGTTTGTTTAAAGAGGTATCCCATAAAGCTTTGTGATGTGACGTCACAATCTATTTTTAACAATTGTCAATAGTGTTATTATTGTGATGAGCCTAGTCATGTGGCAAGAAAAAACTGTACTTGAATAATGTATGAGAAGTGTTACAGTGTTTGAGAATTGTTTTGATACCAAACTTCAGCCACCTTGTTTTTGGGTCACTTAAATTACGTTTTATTTTCTTTGCCACAGAAAAGATGGACAGTCACATCGCCCAGTGATGATACACAGAGCTGTGCTGGGATCCCTGGAGAGAATGATTGCTATACTGGCAGAAAACTTTGGGGGAAAATGGTGAGTTATGACACAATGTGATGTATAATTTGGGATTTCATGGTAATTTCTTTGTATGTTTATGTTTGTTTGTTCACTTTCAAGGCCTTTGTGGTTGTCTCCTGCACAAATTATGGTCATTCCAATTGGGGGCAGTAGCGAGTCATATGCCAAGCAGGTCAGTCCAGCAAACCTACAAACTGCAAACATTTTATACCTTTAATCTTCCTGTGTTAAGTATAGGTTTGTTTGGGTTTTGTTTTTCAAAATAATGTATTTTTAGTGTACTTTAAAAAAAAAATTGTATCCCATTTCATTCAGTATGCCTTTATTATTATTAGTGTACTGTATGTTTGCACAATTCATCCAAGAAAACCATACTTTTCAAATACTTTTGTTCACTGACGATGATAATAAACATAATTCTCCATCTTTTAAGGTGGTGGACCAGTTGAGTCGAGGCGGTTTTATGGTTGATATGAATGACGATCCTGGGGCCACCTTAAACAAGAAGATCCGCTCTGCTCAGCTGGCTCAGTACAACTACATATTTGGTAAAAAAGGACTTTACAAACCACAGTTACTCTGAAAAGTGATTTAAAACCATTGAACAGTATTATGTCTAATGTGTTTTTCTTTGTTTTATCTGTGCAGTGGTTGGCGAGCAGGAGAGAGAGACGGGGACAGTAAATGTTCGAAGTAGAAAAGGGAAACAGTTGGGGAGGAGGACTTTAGAGGAGGTGATGGCAGCTCTTACGAAGCTACGAGACATGCGGAGTAACTTGGATGACTTTTAAAATGTCTGGAAATCATGACTCACAGAGAAGATGTTTATGTTATGTGTACAAGCTGTTTATCTGTTTATCCACCCTGATGGGGAATTTATAATAAAATAGATTCTGTATATTTGGTTTGCATTTCCATTTGTTGGTGATGAAAACTATATGATTTATAATTTTAATGTAGGTTGCTTGTGATACATAAGAGGTATACAAGGTAAGTGTATAAAAAGTTAACACATTTACCCATTTAGAAAAGTAAAAAAATATATCCTTAAGGGTGACAGCTGCATTGGTAGAGTTGCTGAAACAGAGCAGTTCAATTCCAGACCCAACCAGTGCTGTTCTGCCCTTGGGCAAGACACCTTTTTCTGCTTGACTCTCGTTAGTAAATGATGCGTGATAGTGGTCAGAGAGCACAAATTTTCCATCACACAGCCCCGGGAGACCTGTAGCAATAGCTCTCTATTAACACGAAGCAGAAATTATAAGTCTGCTGTAAAATGGATCCCTAGTCATTGTTTATTTTTATTTAAAAGTGTACTATGTAACTTATCTCACGGACAGTACACCATGTGCTTCTCTACATGGAGATGTTATTGCTTTGTCTGGAATGTTTCACCATATGACATTAAACATCTTACTCTGAACAAACCTTATGTGTTTTAAACGCTGTATAATACCTTGATAAAACAGAGGGATTGCCTCTCCGCAGACGTGTGACTCTGCCAGGTGACGTCACGTGTTTGTCTCCATAAGTGCAATGTCATACTGTGGAACATTCCAGGCAACGCATCTCCATGGAGAGTTGAAAAGTTGAAAAAAGTTCAGTGTTGGGAAGGTTACTTTTAAAATGTTTTCCCCTACAGATTACAGATTACATACCCCAAAATGTAGTTTGTAACATAATCCATTAAATTATTTCAGGTGAGTAACGTAATCTGAATACTTTGGATTACTTGATTTGCTGTAGAGAAGCAAAGACTAGGAAATCTTCACATAAGATGTTTTGTCTGATAAAAGACAATGAAAGGGCCAAGTCTTTACTTAACCATATTAAAAATATGATTGATCGAGGAGGAGGAGACACGGTTCACGCTGCATGGTTTAGTCCTGTTAAATCCTGTTTTAGACCTGTTTTAGAACTGGTTTAGTCCTGGTTTAGTCCTTGTTTAGACCTGGTTTAGTCCTGTTAAATCCTGTTGAGTCCTGGTTTAGACCTAGTTTAGACCTGGTTTAGTATCCGGCAATGAGTGGAATTACTGAGAAAAAAAGAAAAGGGTGATATAGCCCCAAATGTGAAAACAGGAAAATACCGCCATGTAATCCATTTATTTCAACAAAGTAACTGTAATCCAATTACCACTCACTGAAACAGTAACTGTAACTGAATACAGTTATTGCAAGTGTAAATTTGGATTCCCTCTTCCATGCGAATAGTAATAGTTTAACACCATAATTATCTATTGCCAACTCGCTCGGATTAACGTTTAAATCCATTAAATGGTCCACACACTCACAGGTACGAGTGTGGTAATGTCTCAAATGTCAGAGAGCAGGCAGGCCTTTAAAAGAGTGGAACAAAGAGAGGATCCAGCAGGAGGACATTTCTAAAATAGGACAGGGTCAAAGCTGTGTGTTTTCATTTGTGTTTAGTGGAAACAGCCAGGTCCAGGAACAGGTCAAAAGAATTCAGCTTTCTCCTTTTTAATTGAGAGAGCGGAGCTGGACTTAACAGTCATAACAGCCGCAGGAGGTGCAGGGGACAGGTGACGGGGCAGACATCTGGGCAGAACATTTAGGAAAAAAATCTGTATTCTTGTTTTTAAGGTTTGCAAAATCAGACTGAGTTAAAGATGAGTATGGCCAAAAATTTATTCAAGTTAAGAGTACAGTTTTGGTAAAAAATAATATTACAAGTTGTAGAAATGATTCACGAAGGCGTAAAAATGTATTTGGAGAAATTACTATTCAAGTAAGAATAATTGTAACAGTAACGGTCTGGGTGATTTTTTTTAACTTTGATTTCATTGTAAGGACAAAAATATAAACTACAAAAACTACTACAAAACTAATATTAAAAAACTAAATACTATCTGAAGGAGAGGTGCAAACACAGACAACACAAATGTCACGTGTAAAAAGTGAAGGTGATTTCTGCACTTTTGTGTTTAGTCTTATAGTCCTATTTACTTTTTTGTGTGTGTAAAAGATGATCCAAGACATTGACAGGCACATTTCGGCACAGTGATGTAAAAATGTCAAAACAGCGGTCTATAGCCTTCTTTTTGGCTATTATTACCACTAATACAGGAGTGACAAGCTTGGAGGAGAAGTCATTTGACTGTGTGTTTGTACAAATGACCTCACTGAGTTTAAATAACTATAGTACACAATAAATTCACAGCAGTATTGTTCACTGATCTGTGGATCTTAAGGCCATCACATGCCATTGCGGGCTATTCGGTTAACAGGCAGTCGTCAGCAACAGCCGACTGTAAAGAATGGTCATTAATAAAACTGTCAGATTCCACAAAGACCTACACAGTATCTCACCGGGGTCACTGCTCCCATTGTCCTTTGTCACATGAACTGCTCCTATACGACTAAAGCCATCTGCCTGTACCGTAAAACTGGAAATCTAGTCCCCTCGCGACCTGATTAGTGTTTGACCGCGTGTTTGCTTTTAATTAGAGTTGAGTGGATTAGTCACATATGGTTCTCAAATAAAAGTAGCATTTAAAAAAGTAGGATTTAAAGGTCCTATATTAATGCAAAATTAACTCTTGTGAGCTCAGCCAGGTTAGAATGTGTTTACCTTATCAAAAACATGCCTGGAGTTGTTGTGTTTCTGTTTATTATAAGTTTCTCTACATCTCCAAAGCTCAAAATGCTCCGTTCCACCTTCTGATATCATGAAGCTGTAGTTTTCAAGTTACCATCTACCTTTTATTCAGTAGAGATTGGCAGATAGGCCTCTAGTGAAGTTGTATGGAATTTAAAAACACAGTGGAGCACTTTCTGTTTGAGAGAACAACTCCTAAATATGCATAGTTTGTGTGTTAAACATGTGAGAATAAAAAACAAAAAAAACAAAACACAACTATTTACTTAAATTTTTGTCTCCAAAACCAAAACAAAAAAAAAAAAACAAACGGTTAACGATTTGTTTTTTCAGTTCGATTTTGTGTTTAAATGAATAATGGAAAAAAACAGATAACATTTCCCTTTTTCGTGACTTAAACTGCGATGCCGGACTTTTGCGCAGTGATTTTTGCGCCGCGACTGAACCAGGAATAAAACAGGTCAAAACTAGGTCTAAACCAGAACTAAACCAGGACTAAACCAGGTCTAAAAACCGGTCTCAGTCCCGGTCTGACCCCGGTCTGAGTCCTAATCTTGTTTAACATTAACATCTACCTTTTACCTTTAGTTCAGTAGAGACTGGCAATTCCAGGGTAGAATTTATCCAAATGATTCTAGTGAAGGTGTATGGAGTTTAAAAACACAGTGGATCACTTCTGTTTCAGAGAAGAACTCCTAAGTATGCCGAATTTGTGTGTTAAACGTGAGAATCAAAACAAAACAAGAAACACTACTCCAGGTTTATGATGAGGAAACAACAGATGTGAAACTAGTGTTTAATACCAATTTAATACCGTATTGTGGAACATTCCAGACCCTATATCAGAAAACAAATAGTGGGAAATGCACAGTTATTATTTATTTATTTTATTTATGTATTTATTTTGGGCAAGTAAGAGATTTACATTGTTATATAGGGGTGTAACGATATCCAAGTCTCACAATATGATGTTGTCGCAGTATGAACCTCACGGTACAATATTTATTGCGATATCATGGGGAGGCTCACGAATAGAGATGTAACAATATCCAAATCGCTCAGTATGATACTTTCACGATATACATCTCATGGTACGATATTTATTCCAATATTTTGTGGAGGCTAACAAAATTATTAATATGCTTCTTTTTCCTCTTAAAATGACTTGACAAGACTTAATCCAAATAACTAAGACTTAAAAGTGCTTAGAACTGTTATTTCTTCTTGTAGCCTGCCCTGAAATGGAGCAAAGGATCATGGTCTATGTAGTTCTCTCTGTCTTATTGCTGCACCATAACTCTTAATTTAAGCAAAGAGACTTGTAATTCGATATAGTGTGATGGTCCATGATATTATTGTGAGAACTTTGACGATACGATATCACAATATTTCAGTTATTGTTACATCCCTCTTCTTATAGTACAACGGAAGATGAAATCATAATAGAAATTAGAACTTACAGAAGTTACAACTAAGAGTAAAAGCAAATGTTTAGGTTAACCTTATTAAATTATTAAACCTATTAAATAGTATTTATGGTCTCTTCTTTTATCTGTACATTTATTAAACCATATTCAAATCACTGATCAGATGTTACTGTATGTCCAGTTAAGTTGTACTACTTAACTTAGACTACTCGACTACTAACTGTTACAAGCTCTCTATATGGTACTTGACATTATTTTAAAGTAACTGTATGCTTACGTGAATATTTTTTTTGCCTATTCTACAGGAAAGAGAACTCAGACAGGCAGCATTGCACAGTAGTTGCGTAGTGATGACACGGACCATTAGCGGCAGTACGCACTCCTGAATTTTTAACTCTTCAGATAAGAGAACCAGCCCCCGCCTCAGCCTCCTCTGCCCCCCTCTCCTCCCCTCAGCCTCCCGTGGCCCACCCTCTGTCATCCAGCTTTGCTTACACACACACATTCAAACCCAATCCTTCATCTGCTGGACCGGCCCGAGTCGCACAGAGTTCATCGGGAATTATTTTTAGCTTAAGGGTTTATAAAAAAGGCTAAAAGAGGCGTTGTCCAGATAAAATGCCTTCTGGAAACACAAAAGGAGATCCTTTCTCGGAGGCAAAGATTGGTATCTACAGTGTAATGTAAGCTTTAGTTTCGATATTACTTACACTTTCAAATTTCTCGTACTCTACCAGTCAAAAATTTTAGAACACCGCACCTTTTCCAGCTTTTTCCTGTTTACTGTTGACCAAAATGTATTCTGAACTTTTGATTCATGAAAGTGTCCACCTTTGGCAGATATAACAGCTGAAC